GATGATGGTGATGATGATGCTGACGCTGACGGTGTTTGACTATTATGGCGATGGCTATGTGGATGTTGATGGCACGTATGATGGCAATGATGATGATTGTGATAATGATGATGCTGATGATGATAATGATCATGGTGATGACGATGATCATGATGATGACGACGTAGATGAGGATGATGGCGTTTCTGATGATAATGATGATGCTGCTGATGATGATGACGGTTAGGAGTGCGATGATGATGGTGGTTCTGCTGATGAGGATGTTCATGGTACTGTTACTGATGAGTCTGGTCATTATGACGGTGGTGGTGGTGGTGGTAATGAGCATGGGGATGACGAGGATGGTGTTGATCATGATGATGATTTTGATGATGATGCTGATGATGATGCTGATGATGGTGATGAGTATGATGATGATGCTGATGATGATGCTGATGTTGATGATGATCATGATGGCGGTCATACTGATGATGAGTATGATGACCATGACGGGGAGGACGATTATGATGATTTTGTCGCTCATGATTATACGACGATGGTAATGATGACGATGATGATGAGGATGGAGGTTAACATGCCAATGACGATGTTGATGATGATGATGATGATGATGATGATGACTATGATCATGCTGATACTTGTGTTGATGACGATCGTGATGATGATGATGATGGTGATGATGCTGATGCTGAACGTGATGATGAGGATGATGCTGATGATGATGCCTATGGTCATGATGACGGTGGTGGTGGCGGGAATGGGAATGGGAATGATGAGGGTGGTGTTGACTATTATGATGCTAGTGATGATGATGATGACATTGCTGATGTTGCTGATCATGCTGGGCTGCGGATATCATGACGGTGATGCTGAAGCTGATTATGATGATGGTGATGATCATGATGATCTAGATCAGCAAGGTGTTGAGTATGTGATCTACGGTGAATGGTGGTGATGTTGGTGACGACGATGCTGCCGCTGATAATGATGATGCTGAGGCTTATGATAATGATGGCGATGTTGATGCTGGTGATGATGATGGCGATGATGATGACCATGCTGATGATGATGGTCATCATCATCATGATCATGGTGCTGATGCTGATGATGCTGCCGCTGCTGCTGCTGCTGATGTTGACGAAGATGGCGCTGATGATGAGAATGATGATGACAGTGGTAATGAAGAAGAAGATGATGATGATCATCATGGTCATGATGATCATGATGCTGATGTTGATGATGATGATGCTGGTAACGATGGTGATGGTGATGTTGCCGATGCCGATGATGATGATGATGATGATGATGATGATGATGATGATGCTAATGATGGCGATGATGTTGATGATGATGCTGACGGCGATGAGGATGCGGACGATGCTGATGATGGTCATAATGACCATGCTGCTGATGATGGTGCCGCCGCTGCTGCTGCTGCTGATGGTGATGAGGATGATGGTGATGATGTCGATGATGATGATGATGATGATGATGATGATGATGATGATGATGATGATGATGATGATGGTGGTGGTGATGATGATGGTGATGATGATGATGCTGATGATGGCATTGCTGATGATGATGGTGCTGTTCATGATGACGGTGATGATGTTTGCCAGGATGAAGAAGATAGCGATACTGTCTCTCATGACGATGACATGTCTGACAACGATGGTAGCGGCAATAACAAGGCTGGTGTTTAGTACGATGGCGATAGCGATGACGATCTCGTTGACGATACTGGTGATGAGGTTGCTGGTGGTGCTGATGAGGATGAGGACCAGGATGCTGCTTATGAATATTACGATGGTGATATCCATGCCAATGATGGCGACGTCGATGATGGTAATGGTGGTGCTGATGCTGATGGTGGTGGTGATGATGATGAGGAGGAGGAGGAGGAGGAGAAGTAGGAGGAGGAGGAGGAGAAGGAGGAGGAGAAGGAGGAGGAGGAGGTGGAAGATGAGGGGGAGCTCGTTTGATCATGCTGTTGCTCACGATGCCGAGGACTCTCGCCTCAGGGTCGAGCGCAGCGGGACGAAGGAGGTCAACACGAACACCCCAAGACATGGTGCAAAGGGCGTTCACACCGTTGACAGAAATGGATCGACATCTATCGAGGCACGCCGTCTTCGCTTTTGTGCTGCGTTGAGTCGTCACCGTTTGGCCCCGGCTTATCGCTAGCATCGGTTTGCTGGGTTATCTGTGCCATGCGAGGGATCACATACGTATGGTTATGTGGTCACTCATGCCAGGATATGAGGGTAGAACTTGGCTCGACTTCTATTTCATCTCGTACAAGGCAGCTCAGCAGACGTATATGTTCAGAAGGATGGAGGAGGTGGATTGAAGTTGTGTGATTGCAAGCGGGCTGAAATGATCGGACTGAGAGACGAACGCGAAGGGAGTGCAACACACAGGTTTGAGTATTCGAGATCTGTGCTAATCAAGTGTGCTCCACGACTTCTTCCTATGCCCTCCGAAAGCGCGGGTGCCCCGATGAGGGCGAAGTGGAGGAGGAGGAGGATGAGGATCGGAAGAAAGAGGAGGCTGAGATGTGTTTTCTGGAGACGTTTTTGTGGGGGTCTGGGGTCCTGTCCGTGAGCTCATTGTGGCCGCCTTGGGGCCGTCTTGTCCGTGAGCTCATTCTGGCCGTCTTGGGGCTGTCTTGTAGGATTCTGACTATATTTGGAGGGTCTTGGCGCGTCTTGGGCTTGAGGGCCTGGAGACTGGGCGGGGATACGTGCCTCTTGGCACCACCGGTGCTTTGAAAGAGGCAAGCACCAAGGTACGGCGACGGAGTGAGTCTCTCTTGGCGTCGGCTTGCCTCGGCAGTCCGTCGCAGGGCGGAGTGAGCCTTCCCGCGGTTGAGGAGCCCCTGCGGCCGGAGACGCGATGGCGGACAATCCAGCATACAGTCGGGCCGCTGAAGAAGGAACTCTTTTGCTGGGGAGGGACTCAGTGCTCCTTAATTGGTTTTGCAGTTTGTCTTAGGCCTTCTTAGGGCTTTTATGGGAGATCGAAGATGAACTTGTGGAAAAAAGGGTCCTCGTTCCTCATGTAGGGTTCCTGGTGACAGCGGCCCGACTGTACAGTCAACCCGCATAGTCAGGATGGCCAACCTTCCCACAGGTACCCTTGCATCCTTGCTTCCTCGGTCCATCCTTGCTCGCTCTCGTTGGCCGCGCCCTGCTCGAAAAGCTTCGGGTTGGGCGCCCAAGGCCCTTGCATCCTTATCTCGCATCCTGATGATGGGGGCAAGCTGTAATCTCGCCACCATCGTCATCGCAGGTCACCCGTGCGGGCGCGGAGTGGATCGCGCCTCGCGCACCGCGGCCCAGGCCAGGGCTGCCGCCTTTCTCCCACAGAGAGGGCTCGGCGAGGGGGCGCGGGGGCGTGAGGAGGATCGCGGCCCCGCGCATCGCGGAGCGCGGGGGCGCGGCGTTGGGTGACCTGCATCCCCCATCGAAATCAGACGCAAGTCTTTCCCGCGTCGCGGCGGCGCCCCAGGACCCCCAAAGCTCAATGTTCGCGTCGAAATGGGCGACTGCAAACACAGAATTCCGACCCCGTGGGCGCTGCGTTTCGCGTGTCGGTCAGCATCAATATCTTGCCTTTGATTTCGAGAAGGGTCGTGGCACCTGGCACCTGGTGGCTTGAAAGTTCGTCAGGACGTAGCCTCCCCCCCTTAGGGCCGGTCGGCCTTGAGGGGGGTTGTTCAATCTACTGCCAGGTGACCCCTGGAGCACTGCTCCAAGGGCCACCGGCAGGCATGTCTAAGCAGGACACAGTTCGGGTGACCTGGTGTTCGTCCTCACCGGTCACCGAGCGCGTTCCACTACTCGCAAAGTGCCGACTTGCAGGCGTCAGACGAACACATGTGTGATATCTTGTAAACCCCTCGCGGCGGGTCCAGGCCATTTGCGAGTAGTGCTATTCTGCGAATAGTGGAACGCGCTCGTCCTCACGCGACTGCTTTTGCTCCAGACGCCCCAGCCGCTGCCCCAGCGCCGCCTGGCGCGACACGTCCGGTCTGAGAGCGAGGTGCAGCGCAGAGGGGGAGGAGGTGGCAGAGGAGGTGGCGGGGGAGGCTGGGGAAAGGGAAAGGAAGGGTGATTGAGGAGAATACGTGAGGCATAAGGGTTTAGCGAGGGCCAGAGTCTCGGGAGCAGGGCGCTCCTGCTCGTGACGTGACTGGGGCAGCCCTTCTTTGCCAAAGCCATAGAGATGGACTTGTTTGCAGGGGGAGAGAGAACAATTCTTTGCCAAAGCCATTCTTTGCCAGAGCCGTGCCCAGCCATGGCGCCCTGCGGCCTGCAGCGGCTGGCGCTCCTGTCGGCGCTGGCGCCGCTGGCGGCCGGCGGCGGCGGCCCGGCGGCGGCGGACCAGCGGCGCGCCTCGCGCGGCGGCCTCGGCCTCTCGCTCTTCGGCCCGGGGGGCCTGCTGGCCAGCCCGGGCACCAGGGAGCAAGGGCTCCCACGAGGGCGCGAAGTCATTCGCGCTTCGTGCTTCGCGGTCCTCGTTCCTTCTCCCCCTCCTCCTCGTCCTCCTTTTCTCCCTCTGGGGGGGCGGTGCGAGAGCGCGAAGTTATTCGCGCTTCGCGGAGCGCGAAGCGCGAAGTTGGGAGCCTGAGGGAGGGTACGCAAGGAATATACACCACCACGTCGATTCCTCTCTCCTCTCTCCAGCGAGAGGGAGGGGGGAAGGGAGGTGGTGGTGGTGGTGGTGTATATTTTGGGGTCCCCTATGCAGGTTCGGGTACAAGGCAGTCGCGTCGAGCGTCATGAAAGTCTCGTCGTCGCCCGTCGCCCAAACCGTCGCTCTCATCATTTGTGATGGTGTCCAGTGTAGAAGCCCAGCCCAGGCACCAGGGAGTGTATGCAGCGGGGGCCCAAGGAATATATTCCACCACCACGTCGATTCCTCCTCTCTCCTCTTTCCAGCGAGAGGGAGGGGGGGAGGGAGGTGGTGGTGGTGGTGGTGGTGGTGGTGTATCTTTTTGGGTCCCCTATGCAGGTTCGGGTACAAGGCAGTCGCGTCGAGCGTCATGAAAGTCTCGCCGTCGCCCGTCGCCCAAAACGTCGCTCTCATCAAATGTGGTGGTGTCCAGTGTAGAAGCCCGGCCCTTCCTGGCAGGAGCTACAAATGTTCGAAGGTCCGCGCGGGTTTCTTGGATCTGCGCTGCGCCCCGCTGGCGGCGCCTCTGGCGCCCCCCCTGGTGCGCGCCAGGGATGGGGGATCCGGCGCGGATCCAAGAAGTCCGCGCGGAGCATCGACAGATTCTGTCACTGCCGTTTTTGTTCTTCCTCGAAGGCAGCGGCTACGAGCCTGTCAGTGCTGAGGCCGATGCGTCCTCGGGGTCCCCCGCGTCCTCGCTCGACGACGTGGACTTCGACTTCTCGTCGCCCGAGCTCAGCGAGGAGGAGGCCCTGGTCATCGAGCACGGCACCCAGGTCCTGATCGGCATGATCGACGCCTTCCTGCACCGCAAGAACGCCACCAAGAAGGAGCTAGAGTGCCTCGTCACGAACCTGGAGGGGGTCGCGTACAAGGGCTACTCGAAGTCCTCGCACGTCGCGGCCGTGTACCAGGGCCTCAACGGGCGGAGCGTGGCCGGCGTGGGGATGCAGCTGCCGAAGCCAGAGGAACAAAAGGCAGCATGCACAGAACTTGTCGGAGGTCGGCCGCGCGGGCTTTCCGGGATCGGCGCTGGACCCCCCCCCTCCCTGGCGGGGCGGAGCGCGGGGCGGCGCCAGAGGCGCCGCCAGGGGCTGCCCAGCGCCGATCCCAGAAATCCGTGCGGAGCTCCGACAGTTGATGCTCGTGCGGCCTTGCCTTCCTCCGAAAGCTGGCCTTCTGCCTCAACGGCCTCCTCGGCTTGCCGATGGCCGCGGTCAAGAGGTGCACGAGCCCGGGCGCGGTGCAGGCGCTCGGCGTCGCGGCGGCCCACCTGTCGAACCTGACGTACGTCGCGGGCCGCGTGACGGCGAGCGGCGCGGATATCCTGAACGAGCTCGCGGATGCGGTGGCGGCCCTGCGGGACGGCTCCTACCCGCTGTTTGGCCAGCACCTGGGCAAGGCCGGCAGGAAGGCGCTGCTGTCGAACGACTCCGCGTCCGAACTCCCAGAGGGCAAGCCCACGGAAGAGCAGATCGTCAACGTCTCCGCGGGGATCATCCAGGGCTTCTTCGGCGAGGGCTTCGAGATGGACATCACGTCCGAACATAAGGTCTCAACCTTCCCTTTTAAGAAAATGATGAAGTACTTCCAGGGCAAGATGCGAAATGGCACCTCTGAGGGTCAGCCAGCCATGGATCCCATAGAGCAGCAGCTAGACGGTGGATTTCACATCCACATCGACTTGCACACGTGCGTTCACAAGAACCTGGACTTCTTCCAATCGGCGCTGTTCGGTGCCTGGTACATCTTCGCGCGATCCACCACCAACCTCATGCATGTTACGCAGGTGCCGGTCCTGCTCTCCTCCGTGATGCGCGAGCTGCCCCAGGCTCTCGAGAGGTGCGGTGTCTCCCAAGACCAGGTCCGCATGCTCGAGGACTCGGTTCTGTCCCTCCAGCGGGTTTACGTCAACGTCGAGACGCCGGACGTGAGCGCGGGCTACAACGAAACCATTAAGGCGCTGCACCAGGCCGCGCAACACTGGGACGACCTGAGCTGGTTCGAGTTCGGGGAGGACCTCGGAGGCCTGCTGCTGGAGTTTGTGCTGGACGGCTTTCCCGAGCTGTACTCCGTGGGGCCCACTGGGCGCCTGCTGAAGCTAGAGGAGCAGATCACGGCATAAGCACAGACTCGGAGCTCCGCACGCATTTTTTGGATCTGCGCCGGACCCCCTTGGCGGTGCCGCAAGCGCCGCCCCTGGCGCGCTCCGGTGTCCAGCGCTGGTCCAGGGTATCCGCGCGGACCTCCGAAAACTTGCGTTGATTCAGCGGGCGAAGAACGTATATCAGAAAGTTTTCCGTCGTTGGGGACGCCTGCGCCCCGGACGGCTGGGAAGTTTATACCCTTACGTGGTACAAACTTTGCAGCCGCCCGTCCCCGACGGCGGAAACGTTCGGTCTGACCGAGGTATCAGTTGGAGGTCGCTTCGGGGAGGGTGCCCTCATGCTCTTCGTGCTCGTTGGACGTTCCGTGCGCTTGCTGGGCGACGCAGGGCCTCGTGTCCTCGAGGGGTGTCCTTCTGGCCCTGGTAGCGTCCTGCGCCCCCCCAAAATGCACGCCGCGCTCTGCTCCTCTGCGAGCTGCCCCCCCCGGGGCCGCGCGCCAGGCCGTGGTCGGCGCCCTGGCGCGGGCCACAGTCGCTGGCCTGCTGGCCCTGCTCGCCGCCCTGCTCGCGCTGCGCTGGCGGGCCTCCGGCGCGGGCGCGCGGGCGCCCGGCTCCGCGAGCGCGGAGCTGGCGCCCGGGGAGCGTGCGGCCGCCGAGTGACGCGGCACGGCGGCACGCGGCCCTCCCTCTTTTCCTCCTCCTCCTCCTCCTCCTTTTCTTCTCCTCCTCCTCCCTCTCCCCCTCCTCTTCTTCCTCCTCCTCCTCCTCCTCCTCCTCCTCCTCCTCCTCCACCCTCTCCCCCTCCTCTTCCCCTCCTCCTCCTCCTCCTCCTCCTCCTCCTCCTCCCCCTCCTCCTCTTCCTCCTTCTCCTCGTCCTCCTCTTCCACCTCCCCCTCCCTCCCCCCTTCCCCCTTCCCCTCCTTCTGCCCCCCCCCCTCCTCTTCCTCCTCCATCTCCTCCTTCCATCCTCCTCCACCATACCCCTCTGCCTGCCCCCCCCTCCCGGGCGGGCGCCAGGCGGTGATCAGCCCAGACCCCCGGTCGCGTTGTGACAAAAGACACGACGTACGTTTTTTCCTGCATTCGGCCTCTGAAAGCCCTCGTCAGGTCCTGGGATCGTTCGGGAGCGAACTCGGGATTGGAGGAGGAGGAGGAGGAGGAGGAGGAGGAGGAGGAGGAGGAGGAGGAGGAGGAGGAGGGGGAGGGGGAGGGGGAGGGGGACGGGGAGGAGGCAAGCTAGGTGCGCTCGCGTCATATCTGACATCCTACCCCTCCCTTCCATCCCTTACCATGGCGCAGATCCCCTCTCTACTCGCACAGTCGGATGTCGAGCAGGGCAATGATCCCGAAAGGGTACGCGATGCATTGTAGAGCACGGCATGGCATGGCGTAGAAGAGCACCGCAAAGCGTAGTATCAACCTAGCATTGCATTGCATGCCGTGGCATGGCACGGGAAATGACGCCAGCGCTGCAGCGGGAGCACGAGTCGAAACAAGCGGAAGCGCGGATATGAGGCCAGCGCTGCAGCGGGAGCACGAGTCGGAACGAGCGGAAGCGCGGAAATGAGGCCAGCGCTGCAGCGGGAGCACGATTCGGAACGAGCGGGGCCCGAAAATGAGGCTGGCGCCTCAGCGAGAGCAGCATTTTGAAAAAATGCAAGCGAAAACCCAACTCCCGGGAAACCTGTGTGTAAAACAACAACACGAGGGGGGGGGGCGAACACTCCCAGCACGTCATCAGGGGAAGAGGAAGAGTAGTATTCATATTGAGTAATTGTAGAAGAAAAGGGAGGGGGAGGAGGAGAAGAAAAGGGAGGAGGAGGAGGAGGAGGAGGAGGAGGAGGAGGAGGAGGAGGAGGATGTGAAACAATCACGACGTCGGGGGTCTGGGAAGTTCAGGGGTGGGCCCACCGGCGCGTGCGGGAAGTCGCCTGAGCCGGCCCCCATCGTTCGCGGCGCGCGCTCGCAGAGCAGGGCTCCTGGAGCCAGGACTTGGCCGACCAGCTTTTTGTGAGCATCTCAGCTGGAGGGGATGGATTGAATGGAGCATGCCTCGGCCCGCGGCTGGCTTCGCAGCGCCCCCGCCTCTCTGGGGCCCCGAGCAGCCCGCCGCTGTCCGTCGGGTGCCCCCTGGCCCGAGGGGGCCCCAGGATTTCCGAGCCTCCAAGGGGGCCCCAAGGAGGCCCCCGCTGCCTCCAGAGCACCCCGCCGCGAGGCGCAGAGGGCCCCAGGGGCTCCAACACGGAGCGAACAAGAGAGCCGGGGCACCTTGCGAGGCCTCCTGGATGGGGTCGGAGCAGATGGCGTCGGGGGATCGCGCCGCGTCGCCGTAGCATCGCGGATGCATCGCGGATGCAGCGCCGATGCGGCTCGATGTGCAGCCCGATGTGCTTCACGTCGGCGTCGCCGATGCATCGCCCACGTCGACGCTGCATCGCCGGTGCATTGTCGATGCATCGTCGATGCATCGCCGATGTATCGGCGATGCGGCGCGATCCTCCGACCTTAGCTGCTCCGACCCCATCTAGGAGGCCTCTACAGTGTGGGCGCGGCCGCAAGAAACCCTCGCAAGAGACCCAACCCTGAAAGCCAGCGTGCGAGATGCACCTGAGGAGAAGCCCGGAGCACACTGAGCACAGCAGCTTCTCCAGCGGCCGCGGGAAGTCACCGCGCAGCGCGCGGAGCGAAGATTCCCAGGGCACCCTGACGAAGAGCACCGGGTTTCGTGATGCGCGCCTCCACTGTACTCTAGCAGCCCGCCGCTGTCGGGAGGGGAGCAGCGGAGGTCGGGAGGGGAGTCGGCTGACCACCCCACCGATGCTGGCCGAGGCGGGCCCTGGGCGTCTGCATCGGCGTCTGCGCCCTGCCTGGGAGGGCGTGTGCTCCGACCCCGGGCCCAAAGTGGGCCCGTCTAGGATCGGGAGGGAGGAGGAGGAGGAGGAGGAGGAGGAGGAGGAGGAGGAGGAGGAGGAGGAGGAGGAGGAGGAGCAGGAGCAGGAGCAGGAGCAGGAGCAGGAGCAGTAGCAGGAGGAGGAGGAGGAGGAGGAGGAGGAGGAGGAGGAGGAGGTGGGAGGATGATTGTTGTTTTGAGCACCTCGGCTTCCGCGGCATGCACATAGCACGCCCAGGCCACTACATTGTCGCACGCGGGGCCCTGGGCGGCACGTTGGCCGCCCAGGGACCCCACCGCGCCCCGCACACACGGCCGGCGAGCCGGGCCGGCCGAGCGGAACGGGGAACAGCGCAAGCCGCGGCAGTCGGGCTGCTGAGGACCTCCAGCGGTACGTTCAGCAAGCCCGACCGCCGCGGCAACGACGACGACACGACAGAGAGGACGAGCCGCCAGGCACGACCCCAACACGCCGAGCTGGGGGGGGGGAGACCCTCGACCATGCTGGGGACTGCGCACCCGGCGACCCCCCTGGGGGGACGGGGACCGCGCTTTGGCGGCCATCCCCACCGGGTGCAGGGGCTTTTCGCCCTCGGGCTTTTCCCCACCGCGTGCAGGGCCCCGCCTGCGCCAGGAGTACCCTGGGGTCCCGACCCCACCCCCTACGGGTGTTGCCCCCTCGGGGCAACAAAAGGAGGAGGAGGAGGAGGAGGAGGAGGAGGAGGAGGAGGAGGAGGAGGAGGAGGACCAGTGGAAACCTAAGAGGCATTAGCGATGTTGGAATAAACCCTCCCTCCAAGCTCCCTCGTCATAGGCCTCATAGGCCCCTACAACGGTTCATTTTCATCGAGGGAACTGCCTAGTTGGATGACAACCGTTTGAAGACCCTGCAGCATGCTAAAACATTGTTCTCGGGATTCCAACGCCACGGATCAGCCTGATTGTTGCGTGTTGACCATCCAGAATCGTGCCAGAACGCCATGCTTGGGACTTCAACACAGCGAATCAACGTAACTGTTGCGCCCGCGTAATCCTGAATCCTTTCAAAACACCATTTCTGGTACGTTGATGATGGGGACCCGTGGAACTCTTTCAATTGTTTAACGAATGTGCGCGGCGTTAAGGCGAGAGCCTTATTTTGAAAACCATCAGCCCTCAATCCATGAAGCTCGTACAAGTTGTTCGAATGTGCGCCGCGCTAAGGCGAGAGCCACATGTTGAAAAGGAACCGCTCTCAATCCGTGAAGCTCGCGCAAATTGTTAGTACGAATGTGTGCCACGCTGAGACGAGAGCCACATTTTGAAAACCAGCCGGCCTCAAGCCGTGAAGCTCTTTGAAATGTTTAACGAATGTGCGCCGCGCTAAAAGGCGAGAGCTACAGTTTACAAGCGACTCGCCCTCAATCCGTGAAACCCTTGCAATTCATAAAACGAATGTGCGCCGCGCTAAGGCCAGAGCCACATGTTGAAAACCACCCGCCCTCAATCCTTGAAGCGCATGCAATGTTTTAAATCGAATGTGCGCCGCGCTTAGGCGAGAGCCACATTTTGAAAACGGCCCGCCCTCCATCCGTGAAGCTGTTGTCAATTGACAGGCTTCAGTGTCATAAGTGGTGAGGGAGTCTCAGGCGAAACGCCCATCCCACACTCAAAACTTGCTTCGGAGTGCGACAGGGAAAAGTTCTTCACAAGGAAAAGGAATGGAGGAGGAGGAGGAGGAGGAGGAGGAGGAGGAGGACGAGGAGGAGGAGGGAGGAGGAGGCGGACGAGGAGAAAAGAGGAGGAGGAGAAGGAGGAGAAGGAGGAGGAGGGGGAGAAGGAGGGAGGAGGGGGAGGAGCAGGGGGTGGTGGAGCAGGAGGAGGAGAAGGAGGGAGGAGGCGGAGGTGGAGCAGGAGGAGGAGGAGGAGGAGGAGGAGAAAGAGGAGGGGGAGGCGGAGGAGGCGGGGAGCAGGGAGGAGGAGGAGAGACCAGGAGGAGGAGGCGGAGGAGGAGGAGGCGGAGGAGGAGGAGGAGGGGGGAGGAGGAGGAGGAGGCGGAGGAGGAGGTAGGCGGAGGAGGAGGAGGCGGAGGACCAGAAGAAACCCAAGAGCCATCAACGATGTCGGAATAAACCCTCCTTCCAAGCTCCCTCTTCATAGGCCCCTACAACGGTTCATTTTCATCGAGGGAACTGCCCCGTTAGATGACAGCCTTTTGAAGACCCTGCAGCATGCTAAAGCATTGTTCTCGGGATTCCAACGCCACGGATCAAAATGAGTGCTGCGTCTTGACGACCTTGATTCGTGCCAGAACATTCCTGGGATTTCAACACCGCGAACCAGCGTAACTGTTGACCCTCAGAATCCTGAACCCGTCCCAACCACCATTTCTGGTTGTTGACCATGGGAACCCGTGAAACTCTTTAAACTTTTGAGAAGGATGTTC